TTTTTGAATTTTTACCCCCCCCCCAAAAAAAAGATTTTAAAATCCAAAAAGTCTTTTGTGTTTGGAAAAATCGGAATGTATATGATAGTACCTACCGTCTTCTATCTACAAACCAAATTTCAGATCGATATCTCTTTTTTGGCTAAGGTATAGCGAAAACTGTTAAAAAATGATGACGTCAAATTTTCAAACTCAATTTTTGGCAATTCTAGACCACGTAGGGCAAAACAAAGGCCACCATTAGACTCCCCGTGACGAGCAACATCGAATTTTATGCAAAATATCAACTTATTTGACCTAATTTGACCTGACCTTCACCAGAACGTAACCTAAGCTGGCCCCAAAGGCTGCCTGTCCCATATAATCGCATTTGTCATGTAAAATGGACCATAAAACATGCATCACACGACACTTTCATTTATTTATTTATTTATTTATTTATTTCACATTACAGACATGTCCGTGGAAACACGGCTATTCTATGTCCAAGTCGTTGTGCATATACAAATCGAATGGGATATGACAACAGTCACCGCAATCATTCACACATTCACCCTCATCACATGTGCTAACTAGGACAGCTAAGTGGCTCGCTCGCGGTCAAACAAATGCTCCCTCAGTGCCGGCTTGAATCGAGCCTGACTAAGAGCGCGCAGGTCCGCCGGCAGCTCGTTGTACCCTGACACCGCAGAGTACAGAAAACGGCGACGTCCGGACTCTGACCTGACAGTGGGGGTCACAAGCATGTCATTGTACCTGGTATCCCGCCCGTGTACACTCTGCCGGGTGACTAGACAGGTGGCGAACTGCTGCGGCTCTGACGTGGCCAGCATTTTGTTCACCAGCACGATGGATTGGTACCTGAACAAGCTCTCGGTGTTAAGCCAGCCGAGTTCGTTGATAACATCGCTCACCCGATCATACTTCCTACGGCCTGAGACGACTCGTGCAGCAAACCTAACCAGCTTTTGAAGTCGTTTGCGCTGGGTTACATTGCTGGCACCGTAAACGGACAGACAGTACCTAATAATCGACAAGACGAGCCCCTGCACCAACGTTACCATGACTGTCGCTGGAAGACTGTGTCTACTGTGACTCAGGCCACACAAGGTACCGGTGCACCGCCGCACCACGTCACTGGTATGCGTCACAAACGACATGTCACTGTCAAACCATACTCCCAGGTTCTTGACAGTGTCAGAGCTGGTGATGGTGGAGCCGCAGAAGTTGATGGTAATGGGAGGCAGACGACGAGTCATCTCCGGCGTGCCGAGGACGATCAGCTGAGTTTTGGCAGCGTTTAACTTGAGGCCGTTCTTGCCATACCAGTTCGACAGAACTGATAGACTGCCTTCCAGTGACCGTTTCAGCTGAACGATGTCTCTCGGCTGTCCGGAAACGTACAGTTGGACGTCGTCCGCGTAGGCGATGATGCCGGTGGAGTTGTCGGTGTAGAGCGGCAGGTCATTAGCATACACATTGTGCAACAATGGCCCGAGCGATGAACCCTGGTAGGTACCGATAGGGTTTAGTAGCGGCTGTGAGAGCGTGTGAGCACGAGACGGTCCGGTAGAGTGAAGCTGCACACGCTGATAATGATTGGCAAGGTAACTCCGGAACCAGCGGGTATCTACACCGTAGAGCTCGAGCTTACGCAGAAGCGAGCTGTGTGGGATGCAGTCGAAGCAGCGCGAGCAGTCCAACAGACAGAGAACGGTGACTTCACGCTGGTCCATGCTCCGGAAAACATGATCGGTCAGGGTGAGTAGAGCAGTGTCCGTGGAGTGGTTGGTTCTGAAGCCGTGCTGGTTTGGAGAAAACAGGTGATGAGAAGAGAAATAGGAATGAAGCTGTTCAGAGACGACGCGCTCGGTGATTTTACCAATAGTGGTGAGAATGGAGATAGGCCGGTAGCTGCTAAAGTCGTCGGATTTTGATGCCTTGGGAATAGGATGGACCAGCGTAAGTTTCCACGAGTCAGGTACAGTATGTGAAGCCAGGCTAGTGTTCACAATGTGAGTCAAGACATGGTACAGTGAGAAAAGGCACATTTTAATAAAACGAATGCACAAGCCATCGGCGCCGCAGGCAGACGAACCGTTCATCCGCCCGACAATGGAGAACAGGTACTCAGGCGTGATGGGTGCAACCGTAAACGAGCCAGTCGACACTCGGGGCAGGCGAACCGGCAGCTCGGGTCCGGAGTCGTCTACCGTGCGTGCCGTGTTCACACCGATATTGACAAAATACCGATTCAGTGCGTCGGCGTCCACCTGCTCGGCTGTGATGGGTGGCTTCCCAGCGCTCTTAGAAGCTATGACAGGCTGCACTCCCCTCCACAGGGAGGCCCGTCCTATTGTGACCCCCAGTGACCTGACCTCTGTGACCTGGCCTGGTATCAGTGACCTCATATAGCAAAGTATGTGTTTGACGAACAATGTACTTACCATCGATGGTTTTCAATAACTTACCAATTTACTCGATTTCACAACACATTTCTTGAAATGCCTGTGAACGGTGAAAATCGGACCTTTGACCTGACCTGTGACATCATCGGTTTGACCTAGGGCAATGAAATTGGGTCACAAGGTAGTTCCCCGATGGGGCTATCGAACGAAATTTGAATTTTGAAAATCTGCCGGTAAATTTCCGAGATTTTAGGGGGGGGGCGAAACGGCCCCCCTACGGGTGGTAGGGTCCGCCGATAGCCCTACGGGGCGCGGGTTAAGGACCAAAAAAGAAGTCTACCTGATGCAGCTTGTCATGACAAATCAAACGGTGCTATTTTCGGTTCCTGTGCCAAGCCTAATAAAACATACAGATAATTCATTTTTTAGAGCTCGTGGGTCGTGCTCCATCAAAACTCAAATAGTCCTTACATTTTTAACAGTCTTTTAGAATTAGAATTTAGGCGCAGAGACAATATTTATCTATTGTGCATTTCGTTTTTTTCTCAATAAACTAAAAATTTTGGGATTTTCAATTATTTTTCCGAAACTTCAATTAGAAAGGATCAAAATCCAAAAGTATCACAAAAAAACAAAACAAACAAAACAGCCATCTAAAAGGCAAAGTAGAATCGCCTACGTGCTTTTTGTTTTGTCTTCTTAAAACTGAAAATAAAATGGTGTGACGTGACGTTGCATTAAAACGTCATTTTTGCAAAAAAAGGTACGACGGATTTCGCTGAAAACTTCAGGGATCATGTCAAATCAGTAAGGTGCTGTAAGTTTGACGTCTCTGGAGTTAATCCTCGTAGGACCGGACCTATTGGTTTTCTACATACGCGCCGGCCGGGGGGGGGGGGTGTACGGCCCCCTTGCCATTTCGCTCTTGAAGGAGCTAGAGAGTCGCGGAAAAAACAAGCGTGTGCATCGATACGAGACGCAGCGATTGGTACCCGATTTTAACACGAGTTCGTTTTTTTTTTGCAAATAACTTCGCAAAACATGGCCGCAGAGCCGCGATTTTGGCATCATCATGTTCGCCTTCTCTGGCACGTCGAATGATATATGAACTTTTTGTTTGGGTGAGGTCAAATTGAGGTGTTGACCTCGGGTCACGGTCAGGTCAGAGCCCCCCAGGCCGCCAACTTAGTCGAAGGAGGTCATGCCGCATATCGTTCGATTCCGCAGGTCTTTCGAGTCCATTGGTGGCTTTCCCAACTCGCTAGCTTAATTTGATCAGGAGTTATTGACGAAAACCTCTAATGACCCTCGTGACGTCATAAATGACATCACGCAAGATCAACAATGCAAAAGTGTAGCATCGAAACTTGCAAGGGGTGCATGAAATCACGATTCCGCGTGGTTGATTTAGTTTGAGAAGGTTCCCGGCGTCAAAATAGCAGATTTCATTTTCCCCATTGACTTACAAAGGTGAGGTCACGTAACTGACCTGACCTCATGTGACCCGCGTCAGAAACAATCCGAGATATACAAGTTGTGAGACCTATGATGAATACTAGGTCCTGCAAGTTTCAGCTACCTGTGAAAGCTCCTCTTCACTGAGGGCGTTGCGAATTTGCGACATCTGAAGACCGTGCAGAGGTTTACTTATGACGTCATATGTCAGTGACCTGACCTGAGAGCCAAACTTATACCAATGCGTCACGAGTGTTTCTTTAGTGCAAGAACGCTAGGAATCGCCAAATAAATAGGATTGGAAGGCGAACGCGGACAAGTTGTTACGCTTGATGCTTTCTGTGCTAGGTGGAGAACCATCTCTGAAGGCGTTTCTGGCACAATCATCTGCAGGGCAGCTCAAGGCGGTAGCGCGTGAGGAGCATAAAAGGACGGAGAGCTGCCCAGCAATAATCGGCGAGCTGCCGGGGTACGATAAAAAGTGGAGGGGAGCGGACGGACGAGACGGGAGGGCCTCCGACACTGGCCTCCATTACCGGGGGGCGGCTCCTATTGAGGAGGTGCCAACACCAGAGCACAAACACAATGGAGGCCGAAAAGAAGTGGGCAGCGATTAGAGTGAGGAAGGCGCCACTTCGAAGGAACATGCATATGAGGATTTCGCATGGATGCATTATAGACCAGCCCCTATTGAGTGCAGACAGTAGGCACATATGAGCGTTGAATAGTGTAGGTATCTCTATATGTCGTTGAAATTATTCTCAAGAAGGAACAAGTAACAACTCATATATCTCGCTAAGTCTAGTCATTCAATCTGCTGGTTACGACGTGTGATACGGCACTGAACCACGTCCGATGCCTCTTGAAGACAGACTCCATCAAACAACCATAGCTGCTCTGTCACTGACGACCTCCCCTTCCCCGTCCCTCTCCCCCACAGATAGATAACTGAGCTATCACCCCCCTCCTCCCACCGTGACCTGTGTCTGTGACCCGGGGCGCCGCCGGGTCGGGCTGCGGCGCCCGAGGGTGCGCGCGGCCCGGCGCCCCGGTTGGCCCACTGTCCGCCAGAGCGTCTGTGGCCGGGGGCGCCGCGCTACCGCCCGGCGGCTGTCAGTCCGTCCGCTCGGGCGCCACGCGGGTCTGGCGCCGGGCTGCGCCGGGGCGTTGGCTAGCGTGGGTGCGTTGCGTAGAGTGAGTGTTGACCGGCGTATGTCGTGGTGGTTGGTGCTGTGGTGAGGTCGGGGGACGTGAGTCGCCGTGTTGGGCGATATCTTCTCCCGGTGAGAGTGAACACTGTGTGAGACAAGTGAGAAACGGACATCTCTGGCGGCTGATGTGAGAGAGTCTGTCTGATGTGAGTGCTGCTGATGGCTGACGGAAGAGTGACCTGACCCTGATGTGACCTAGGGTGATGAAGGGAGGGGGTGATCATTGATCACGTGACGCGTATGGGGTACCGCATGGTGACAAGAGAGGAGAATGGTATGCTTGGGGATTGAGGGTATAAGGACATGGTCGGTGGTCCACGGGTTTACATCAGATGGCTGCTTCTCAACCAAATATTTGTTTTGTCTCGAGATGGGGCGAGCGTATAGGGGGGCGGCTTGGCAGGGTCATGTGCTGGCTGCATACGACTGCGATGACTTTCATTCCTGCATTCCTTGAAGTATGATATTTTCAAGTTATAACGGAACGTGCAATATGCATCCATTTGGAAAAATGGGACGAGAAATGTTTCAAGACAAAATTATATAGCAGTTAAATTACATAACCCGGTTCAGCGTATCTACGCCAGGAGCCATTTCGGCCAATGTTATTCCGCAAACCGATTGGCCAGTAACCAGAAATTGATGGCCGAAATTCATGGCTCGTCTAATCAAATTACTCACTCCGGTGGCTGCTTGTGGCGATTGATGGCAGAGCCCGAGTTTATCTTCGGTGCTGCATTAGCGCATTTTGAAAGATTTATTTTCTCGTATTATTCCCAAAAACTATTCACATGTCTTGAAGCGAATGATGTGTATGCTGTGTTCATTTTGTTTCGTTTTAAAGCTGATACAGATGAAATAGGAAGAGACATTGACCATCACAGCATTTCGCGTGCAAGAACATTTCCATTTTTCGATTTATGTCAGCCTTTCTAAAATTTTGCTAAAAATGTTTTCAAAATCATTCTGACCATTCCTTGTTTTTCTTTTTTTTTCTGCTGCCTTAGATACATCATTTTTTAGAATGGAGACAGTAAATTAGATAAATCACTAAAACTTTTAAATTCGAAACATGTTTTCGTTTTTCCTTGACCTCGTTCCCCTCCTCATTTCAAGTTGCATAAAGTCCGCGTTTCTCTATGGGACAAGAATGCTTTTGTTGCGTGATGCGATCGTGCCGGATATAAGGCACATCAGAGGTCAGTAATCTGATAATCGCGTGTCCCACCGGACCGCTAGTGGCACGGAGAGGCCACCTTTCAGTCTGTCAGGGGACCGCTTTCTAGGCGAGACGGAGGCGACTAAATGCTGGAGAATTGGTGCCGTTATCGTACATTTTTCTGATCATTGTTCACGTAAGATCAAAACAATGGTAAGGTACTATCACTGCTCGCTGCTTAGTGTTATGCAGCAAATGACCCTTATGACGAATTAAATCCTTACGCTTGAAAGGATGTAGAAGTAGACCATCTCCGACGAAAAAACGTATTTTATTCCTTTGCTGACTTAGAATCATTGCTTGCAGACCTGACCTCATCTGACACTTTTCTGGCCTCGTATTAAGTCTGAGTGAGCCGCTGGTGCCTCGCCTTGACAAATGGATGCATAGCTGAAGTATATTCCGATTATTGAGACTGCAGAGGAATCCCATGCCGGATTTGGCGGCCATATCTCAGCGAAATCGTTCTCGGGAATACCAATCGGAAGCTGGTGGCTGGGCGCGGTTCGCACGTTCTCAATCATTCAGAGGTCTTCGGCCGCTCATCACTCTCCGATTGGATACAGCCGAGCTGAGCTGAAACCCTGACTCCTGGCAGCGGGACGGGTCCCACTTCGACTGACCCACGGCCCCAACTCGACTTACCAACTCGAGTGGCGTTATCCTTTTGAGTGAGCTTTTAACATCTGCCTGGGTTTCTCAACTCAGCTTGCTCTGGTGACTTTATTAGCAGCTTGGGTCTGCAATTACCGGGACGGCCTCTCGCCTTCCGCTCACAACGGTGGCGTTGAGCCGGGGTTGCGGCCACTAATTTGCTGTTGATCCGGTCTCCGCGGAGCGAGTCTGGCTCCCTATCCGCCGGACGTGCCTTCTCCTCTCCCTCCCCCCGGGGCAGATCGGGGGGTCGGCGTTATTGCGGCGCCCACGTATTGAGCGCGCCGGCGGCGTGAGCGGCGCAGCAGCGGGCTCATGGCCGACGGGCACGTGCATCCATAACTCGTCGCCGGCCGTCTGTCGGTCTGCCGCGCTCCATCCACCACCACCACCCTGACACCCCCCCTCCCCCACCCGCGGCACACAGGCCACCAATGACTAACGGAAGGATACGGCAGTGCGAGCCGTACCGCCCCCCGCCGCCCCCAGTGACAGAGCACTCCGTCACTGGCCATTCATTCCCATTGTGGTCCGAGCCCAGACGAGGCGAGAAAGGATTAGCAAGTCGTTCTGTTTATGGTCCGAAAGTCCCTAAAGGAATGGGGATTCTGATACCATTCCTACAAATCTTATGACTTTTTTTCGTTTATAGGATGCGCACTGTTTTTATCTCTCATTTTGAAGAGAAATTGCTGCTTCAGTATTGCGCAGCCATAGTTGCGTGGCATAAACCAATACCATACCACGCTATTTGCTATGCTGGGAAGTAACTATCTCAATATTGTCCACTTCAAAGGAGCGTTGTGCGGTGGCGCTGTTGGCGATGGGCTACGAGCGGGCGTTTTTTTCCGTGGTGTGCGGTGGCGTTGCATGCGATTGGTTGCGGGGTGCAGGCGGCCGTTTTCTTTTGTTTTATTTTATGTACGGTTTGCGGCTATGTTTTTCACGGTCGGTTGCGGGTGGCCGTTTTTTTTTTGTTCTTTTTCGCAGTGTTTGCACTGGCGTTTTTGGCGGTGGGTTGCGGGCGGTTTCTTTTCATTGTTGTTTCCCGTGGCGTTTTGCTGTGGCAGTTGGTTGCGGGCGGGCGTTTTTCTTTATCATTTCCCGCGGCGTTTACGGTGGCGCCGCGGTGGCGTTTCCTTTTCTCCAATCCCGGTCCAAGGAGGCGCGTCAGCACTGCCGGCCTCTAGTATTTTAGCCATTTGGCTTATTAACACAGGAACAAATGTGCCAGTAGCAGGCATACTTGATGCGTTATACAAAAAGTTTTAGTTTATTCATACAATGTAAATCAGCTATACGTTTAACGTTGACGTAAGTGGACAGTAAGGAGAGAGTAATCAATCTCGTGGGATTTGATAGGATAACATCTTCGCGCTTATGTATTCTTACAATTAGCATATTAACAGCGTAATCACATTAGCGCGAGGGGCCAAATAAATTGCAGGCCACGGAGCTGGGCAGCTGAACAGTAAATGGTTCTGACAACGTCAACAGCTTGTCTTTCTGTGACTGGGATGGCCAGAAAACTCTGCATACCTACCATCAAATATCATCAAATTACACTCGCAGTGCGTATGCAACACCTTCAAGCCTCCATCCGTCAAGGGAAAGCGTCGTCCTATCGCGTCGTCGTAAGTCGTGTCGGTCATGCCACGTAGCGTCTCTTTTAGTCATTGCAGCCCAGTCGTATAAGGCATCGCTTTCGGGACAAAATCGCCTTGGTGCTTTCAGCAGCCTCGCACATGGAACGAAGCACAATTCACATAACACCCAGCAACAATTACCCCAAATTACAGATTTGATTGACCTCCAGTCTCCACCAATATGTTTCACTCCAGACAAGCTAGGTAAGCGCAGGCCGCAGCGTGCTATTTCGGTGATTGCCGTCTGCCCTGACTGGGCAGACCTTCTCTGGCGGAGCTGCGAGACAGACCCTCGTCAGCTCATTTGGCCCGCGACGTGACTCAGTTCGAGTCAAACAATTATCTCGCCCACCCGCCGCCGACTCCCATTGAAAGCACGTCACTCTTCAGCCCAAATAGTCGATCGTCGTCGACCAAAAAACATGTTAGTTGTTCTTTACTGGAACTTGGAAGGTGCCGGACATACGAGAAATAAATCGCAGTTTTGCTAGTGATCATTTCTATTGTGTGTCTTTTTTTACAAGGGATTTTCTTCTTTAAATATGATCATAAATACACATATTTGTGATAAAACCTGTCGGCATGGGACAAAATACGTCACTATTATTTGTCTCGGTTTTGAACCAACCGAAATAATTCGAAGATAAAATATTCACGAGTTTGAGATGAATCTTCTGTTCACCGACCTGGGCCCAGTTTCACCAAGCTCTGTTTGGGGTAGTTTCGGCGAAACTACCCCAAACCAGTTTCACCAAATGGGGTAGGTTCTGATTGGCCACTTCCAAACTACCCCATGGAGTAGTTCTGATTTTACCCCAAATTTGCCATGCAAACAGATGCTCACGGTCCGTGAGCAACTGAACAAGCCAATCAATCAGCTGATTATCGTCGGTTCTACCCCAAATATCCGACCAAAATTACGGCAGACATTCGTGGGGTAATCTGTGAATATGATACCAATTGTGAGCAAGAATTGACAGGTAAATAGTAATAAGAACATAATTTATTGAAGTCCAATCACCTGTCACGTTTGATTACGCATTATTCATAGCATACCTACTTCAAATTTCATCCAAGTATTTTACTGCATGTAGCCTGCCCACCTATGCTTGTGATCTACAACACCAAAAGAAGCATTATAGATGTCGCCCATAGCTGAATGCCAGGAATTTTACTTTTTTAACTATTAAAGGTTTTCTTCAACAGTGACCTTGAATACCGGCTGAGGAAGCCTTGAAATATAAACAATAAAAATGCACATTCTTCACGGTGGTTACATGCTGCGTTTTGTTGAAATGATCCAAGTACTTGTGTGATCTATTTAAATTATCATTTGAGCCTATATATTGCCTTGATTTGAGGCATCTATGCATTACGGTCAATGTGCAAATATCCGGCAAATATCAAGACGCTAACAACTGAAATCAATATAAAAATGCCGTACCTAAATCAGCAAGAGGATGTGTCGTGCATAGTCCAGGGCTGCGGAGTCGATGGATTTTCGGCGACTCCGACTCCGACTCCGACTCCGTCTTTCAAAAACCAGCTCCGACTCCGACTCCGACTCCGGGCAGAATTGTCGACTCCGACCGACTCCAACTCCCGACTCCGACTCCGCAGACCTAGCAGGGCTGCGGAGTCGACAGATTTTCGGTGACTCCGACTCCTACTCCGGCTCGGGTTTCTAAAATCGACTCCGACTCCGACTCCGACTCCGACTCCGACCGACTCCGACTCCAACTCCGACTCCGACTCCGCAGCCCTGGTGCATGCCTAGGTAATTCTCATTAGAAATAAAAAGCATATGGTGCACGAAATTCGTAAGAAGCAGTTGTTAAAAATACCAGGCCAAGTGGATTCGATGCTTTCCATATCTATTTTTTTTTGTCGCTGTTGCGCATATCTCAATTAAGTTGCGTTATGTGCCGTGCATCTGTAATGTATGTATTTTGTAATGCACATTAGAAATAAAAAGCATCTGGTGCAAAAGATTCGTAGTTAAAAGTCGTCAAAAGTACCAAGCAAGGTGTATTCGATACTAAAACATGCACTAATTTACTAAAACATTCTAATTATAAAACACTAAACATCTAATCTAATTTAACATCTAATCTAATCTTAAATATCTAATCTAAACATCTAACTTACTAAACCACTAATTTATATTAAAACATTCGATACTATTCGATAATACAACTAGATAAATAGATATTCGATAATGTAACCTATCCATCAAGATTCGCGGTTGTGCATTGCATTCCTTTCTCAATAAAGTTGTGAATCTTGGAAACTGAGGTGCCATGGTGCCATCGTTACCAAGGTGATTGGTAGACAAATACAAGAAGCCAAACCGAATGTGTTCTTCATTTCACGCCGTCGTGAATTGAAATTCTCGACCAATCAAAACGTTCCGTTGTTTTGCTGATGCTGCTTGCTTAGCAAACATTCACAAGAGATGCCGAAACTACCCCATGGGGGTAGTTTGAGCTGGTGAAACTGGATTCTATCCCATGGGGTAGAATGGAAATCTACCCCATGCCGAAATTACCCCACTTGGTGAAACTGGGCCCTGTAGTCCAATCTCACCAAGTGCGGTAAACTCAATTTTGGGGCAGTATTTTTGTAGTTACGTAGTGGGGTAGTTTGGTATTTTACCCCAAATTGAGTTTACCGCACTTGGTGAAACTGGGCCCTGCATTCCTTCCGCTCCTGCCTGCCTTTGCTGCCAGCCAAACACCCCACTCTGCCCCTACATATTCCATGTGCGTTGCATCATGGGTCTACCACCGGAACGGGAAACTAGCCACGCGTGGCCGAGTGGGGCCGTCTGCAACGGACACCCGCGTTTGGATAGGGTCGGTCAGTTGGGAGGGGTTGTGGGGAGAGCGAGGGAGTGAGTGAGAGAGTTGGGGATGCTCGACATAGGGATGGAAAAGGAGAGTCTGATAGTGTCCAGCAGAGCATAGTAAATGTTTGCGGGAAGGCATATATATTAGGTCAGGAGAGGGCTGGTAGACTATTGAGTCAATAAATCGTCAGAGGGTGAAAAACAAGCTGTAGAGGTGGCAGGAAGTAGAGAGAGATGGGACGGAACTGCGAACTGGCAATCTTAAGGATACAACCACCACTGCTGGCGGAGAAGAGGGTGGGTGGGACGGGGAGATCCCTACTGCATGGAAGGTAATTACGGCATCTCGCCCAGGTTCAGGGACGGAGCATCGAATTTCGGGGCGCCGCGCAATCTCGGGCCGGTATTCCTCTCGCTCGCCCAAGCACTCCGCGCCAGCCGACCGAGAGGGGTTGGTGATGTTTGTAATGAGGTGGGGTGTAGGTTACCACCCTGACCTCTGACCTCGCGTCCGTGTCAGCACCAGGGGCAAACTCGGCGCGGTTATCAGTGATCCACAGTCACACTGTCAGAGTCAGCCGCCGGAGACTTCTGCTCGGCGGGCAGCCGCCTTGTTGACGGTCGGTCGCCCAATGTGGCAGCCAAATGAGCTTACCCAGCTGCGGGGCTCACAGTGGGCTCATCTCTCCAGCTCGGGATAGCTGCTGAAACGTCCGGACTCTGTGAAACGAGCGTGAGATGTGCGTCAACGGCGTGGCGATGTTGTCAGTGCTCATACGACAGCCGTTCGAGGCAGTGGTGCTCAGAGACTGAGGAAGTGAGACAGTGCGCCATCTCTGTAAAGACGAGCACCAGGCCACGGAGAGAGGGAGAGTAAGAAGACACTGAGGAGAGAGCAGAGCGAAGATGAACTCGGTACAGAGTGGAGGAGGAGGCGGCGGAGGACTGGAGGAGGACATCAAGGTAAGTCAACTGGTCCGAAAATGTGCTTTTGCTTGTGTGCTTGTGTATGTGTGATTATGCACTAGGTGATCCAAGAGAGGTGCGATTTTTTACAGGTAGATATAACACAAATAAAAGAAGAAAAGGAAAATTACCTTTTATATTTTGTCATAAGAAAGTAAGCAAGTGCCTGAAGTTCAGGCGACCTTCATTTGGGCATGGTGTCATTTTGGTATCGTGTCAACCAGACTTGTGCCGGGATCAAAAATCAAGATCCAGGATCCTCAAGGTCCCACGGCAAATTCAATTTTTAGAATCCAAGGTTTCCAAGGTCCAACGGCAAATTCAATTCCTAGAATCCAAGGTTTCCAAGGTCCCACGGCAAATTCAATTTCTAGAATCAAGGTTTCCAAGGTCCCACGGCAAATTCAATTTTTAGAATCCAAGGTTTCCAAGGTCCCACGGCAAATTCAATTTCTAGAATCCAAGGTTTCCAAGGTCCCATAGCAAGTATACTTTGCAGGGTCCACAGTCCCCAAGGTCCCACGACAAGAATGCATTGCAGGATCCACAGTCCCCAAGGTCCCACGACAAGAATGCATTGCAGGATCCACAGTCCCTAGGGTCCCACGACAAGTGTGAATTTCAGGATCCACAGTCCCCAAGGTCCCATGACAAGTACACACTTCAGAGTTCAGGGTCCACAGTCCTCAAGGTCCCACGGCAAGAATACATCTCAGAATCCAAAGTATTCATGGTCCCACAACAAGAACTTAAACAAACTAACATTCTGATGAGCAGACTTACTTCTAAATATTCTGCCAACGGATGCCCAGAAACATTGAAAGGGGCAGAACCTATGCAAACCTGTGGACTGTGGTGGTTTTATCGTTAACCAACATAGGTAGGGGGAGCTTCAACACAAGTTAAAAATGAATCATAATATCAATATCTCCTTCTTTAACCTGACAAATTCATAAAAAATATAGGTAGGTAATAGGTACCTTGCAATTTGTATTGTCATGTCCCTTTCAATTCAATCTTACCTTATCAGTAGGCATGTAGGACAGCACCTTACAGCTATTGAAGACAGACATTCAAGTATTCTTTCAGGCAATATAAAAAACAGAAATAAAACCTACAGGCTTCATAGAAATGGAAAAGTTGAATTGGATAGGTATATGCTTTCGATTTTCTGCACATTCAGTTACATAATACCTAGGATAAAAAGTAAAATATGTTCTAAGTCTTGTTTGCGCGAGCGCTCACAGAAAAACTGATCGACTAAGCCAATAGAATTCGAGTATCAGCGAGCGCAAACCTTACTTACTGTTCATTCACATTAGATTGAAGGCTCTGAACAAAATTCCATCTGACAATTTTTTCGTCAGCCGGTTATTCGTCGGCAGATTTTCGTCTGACTTTTTCGTCTTGCATTTTTTCGTCTGTTCGAATTAATTTGGTGCATTTTTCGTCTGAGTATATTTCTGTCCGGCATTTTTTCGTCTGGACGAGGCGGAAAATGTCCTTATGAAAATAATGCGCGGACTTAAAAATGCACAGACGTACAAATGCATAGACGAAAGTCTGAGGACGAAAATCTGCAGACGAAAAATTGTCCGACGAAAACCTGCTAAACGAAAAAGTTGAATTGTCATGGAATCATTGCTTATATTGCTCATTGCTCAATGGTGATTTGATGAATTGCAAAACAAATAAGTTTGACACTTACTTGGTCAGTGGGTAGCTTCCAAGTAGCTTCAAGCCCGGCATATCACAACCCAGAAAATATGTGAGGTGAGATTAGAAAAGAACTTTCCAAACCACCACTGTCCACTATTTGACAGTTTCATAATCCATGTTCATTGATAATGTAAAAAGCTACCAGGTCTCTTGTTCCAGTTCTGCCTCACAGCCATGGCAACGATTTTGCTCTATAGGTATATGTCTACACAGTCTGGTTCGTTCTCTTCGTGTAGCTATCTAGCCCCTTGCAGCTGGTCGCTCAACCATAGATAGGTATTTATTGAAGTTGAAGTGCTTACAGACAAAACCTAGTGCAGGGTCCTTAGTGGCCCATGTGCAACATAAACCTCATGGTCCAGCTTCCAGGATTCTTGAGGTCCCTCAACAAAATGATGGTGTAGGTCCAGACCGTTCTCCTAAGATCCCATGACAAATAATAAAACTGGTACTGAAGGTCTGCATTCTGCAGGGTCTTGCAGCATACCAAAATTTTGAGGTCCTAACCCCTGGGTTTCCATGGTTTTAGGGCATATGAAATGTTGAGGTCCTGGGTTTCTAAGGTCTCATGTCACATGAAATGTTGATGTCCTGGGATTCCAAGGTCTCACGGCATATGCAAATGTTGAGGTCCTGGGATTCCAAGGTCTCGCGACATATGCAAATGTTGAGGTCCTGGGATTCCAAGGTCTCGCGGCATATGGATGTTTTAAGGTCCTGGGATTCCAAGGTCTCGCGGCATATGGATGTTTTAAGGTCCTGGGTTTCCAAGGTCTCGCGACAAAAATGACAATGCAAGGTCCAGGATCCATCAAGGTCCCAGACCTTGGACTCTGCGAACCCTGGATCTCGGATCTTTTTGGGACCTTGGCACAAGTCTGGTGTCAACTGTCCATCTTTTTCATGTTTTCTTTTATTCCCAAGAGAAAATGATCTTGAAATGTGTTTCATCTGTCTTCGGGCATCCCTTTGCAACTGTTGTCTCTGCAATCTAGCGGTTCTGTTTGCGCCATCTCACAATGTGAAGCGGACATTACATTCCTTTACGAAGCCAGACGCTGTCGACAGCTGCTGTATTGGCTCCATTTGACCGGCCCGCTTCATTTTGCTGTCACGTACTACATCGAGAAGTTCCGAACTTGGCCCGCCCATTACTGATACACTGGCAATTCCAGTGAACCGGCATAGTGACCAATCCTGCACCGGGTCATTTCCCACTGCCCTTTCCCAGCTGTGGCACCGTGGAACCTCCCGAAGGCTCCCTGTACCACACAGATACCGCGGATGCACGGATTACACATTGATTGAGTGTTCGAGCGAGCTGTCATCAATGTATGGATCATGACGACGTGAGGACCGATAGCACGTGACAGCTACTGACAGCACCGACACGGGGATGACGGAGGGCGCCCGGGGCGGAGATATGAACGTCCAGAGAGACCTCGCAGGACCGCCGGTCCGTCCGAGGACCATGTTTGTCAATGAGGCCACTATATCAGCGTGAGCACCTCGTCAACGGGGTTTAGTCTGCTAGTACGAGTTCCATACACGATGATACAATTCCAAATGTCTTGTTTCGCGATGTAGACACTGGGTTCAGGGCCACTCGTCTGAAAAATGGCCTCGGAAGTAGGACGGCCATCCAGAGAAGATAGTTACTAGGGTAATTTTGTGCTAAACAGCCTAGATACCAGACAGGGAGGGAGAGAGGAAGAGAAACGGAAATAGAGAGAAAGAGGGAGAGAGAGAGAGGACGAGGGAGGGAGAGAGTGAGAGAACGAGAGAGAGAGAAAAAAATTGATAGAGAGGGAGAGGGAGGGAGAGAGAGAGAGAGAGAGGCAGAGCGAGAGCAAGACCAAGAGCAAGAATAAGAGCGAGAGAGAGAGAGAGAGAGAGAGAGAGAGAGAGAGAGAGAGGGAGAGAGAGAGTGAAAGAGATAGAGGGAGAGAGGGAGGGAGGGAGGGAGGGAGGGAGGGAGGGAGGGAAGAGAGAGAGAGAGAGAGAGAGAGAGAGAGAGAGAGAGAGAGAGAGGGAGGGAGAAAAATTGTAGCACGCATGCAACTCAGCTGCTAAAGAGGGATTTTCAATTCAATGATCACTTGTGCCAATCTGAAAACTGTCAGTCACCCCATCATCCTACACTTTCTCAGTATCGGATCATAAGCCCGTCACACGCTGACGCTTTCAGAGAAACCAGTGGGTGGGCTGAGGGAGGGGATAGAGGGTCATCGCTCCCTCCATTCTCGAGAACCGATACGAACCCGACGAGCACGCACATCTGCGAGCGATCTGCGTCGAGCGCGCTTCCCGCGCCATTCCGAGCCATCTCCCCGGCCGGGAGAGCATCTCCCATCACCCCCGCTGCGCCCGCGGGCCGCTCTCAGCCGCTGTGACAATGCCCAGACACGGAGCCCGCGCCAAGATGCAAATTTCCTCACCGTCGGAATCCCGCCGGGCGGCGGCGCCGGCAATCTTCTGGCGCGAGATCCGTTTTCGGAGCGGGCCGATTTTAATCTACTTCCGGTTGGCTCGTTTCCACGGTGGAAAACAGGCCTTAGCGGCGGCAGCGAGCAGCTCGCTCGGGTAATTGGCGCTCACGTCGTCACTTAGGCTGCCCTCCTTGGACATGTGCGCGCCTCTTAATGTGTGCTAATAGCATCAGTGTCAACGCCTACGTCGGCCGTATAAGGGAAATTTTCATGGAGTCTGTCATTCTCGAGGACCGATACGAACCCGACGAGCACCCACATCGTCCGGCGATCTTTGTGGAGAAAGCCCCTTTGCCTGTCCACTGCGACTGTCCCCAAGCTGTACAGTGTACTTACCTCGAATGGTCTGAGGGGAAAACATAATCCAACATCATCGGGGGCAGTCGCAGTGGCTGATTTCAATGTGCTCCCTAGCTGGAGCGGTCGAGGCCACGGTCTTGGTCGTGATCACTCGGATAGCCGACCTCCGCAGTGGATCCCTCTCGATATAGGCCGACCGGCCCCGTGCTCACAGTGCCGAGACGGCCCGGCCCGGCCCGGTCAGAAGTTGAGACGTGCCGGCCGGGGTCGGGGTCGGGTCGGGCGGGGTCGGGCGGTCGGTCTGCTCTAACGGCGGCGGCGCCGCTCAGGCGGCCCGGTCCTGTTTACGACTTCATCCGCCGGAGGTATATCACTCGGCGGCAACTTTGTCGCCGGATCGTTCGGCGGGGAACGGGCACCCGTTCCGGTCCGGCCAGATGATGACACGTGCTGACCGGCTGAGGGAAGTGCCGCGGAGAGTTATGGCGG